AAACCTTATATTATGACTCTCATGTACTTGTGTTATTGATATAAAGCGGCAAGCTCTGTGGCTGAGAAATTAAATAAACATGGAAGTAACAAAAACTGAAGTTCCTCGATCCGACTCGTAGTGCAATTTGGTGGAGTTTATTAGTGGTTTCATTCATTCAGTGTCTGTTAGAAATGTACTAATCCTGCAGGTTGGGGCTTTAAAGAAACATAAGGACATATAAACATTAACTACTGCTTACTGATACAGTTCTAAACATTATAAAGTAATTTAGAACTGCTGGAATTAATTACAGTACTATTACCAGCATGGCACTGTTCGCTCTGGGTTAATAAAAAATGTCTTAATGGCATTATCAGTTCTATACAGCTCGTATTTGTGCATGTGTCTCCAAAGGTTTTAGGTATACATAGGACAGAGTGGTGGTCAACCACAAAGAAAACATGTTTTCATTTTAGACCAATCAGATCTTCATGGAAACAAAATGTTACAGAAATGTAAAAAAGGCAAATATCAGCCAGTGTGTATCTGCAGTGTTTGCCAAAGAGAAAAGGTGTGTGTGAGAAACCTGCAGTCCAGCAACAGGTGATTATCTCCTTATCCACACAAACTGAGAGATACAGTAATGTACACACACACACACACACACACCGAGAGCAGTGGTCAGATAACAGATCCGGGTTGGAGTGCAACCATGTACACACACAGACACACTTATCTTTTCCACCAAAGCCTCTCTCACTGTAGACTGGCTATAAGGTGAGGTGGAAACATCGTGTTGGTTGGTCGACTGATTGACTGATGGACACTGACATGTCGTAACTAAGCTAACCTTTACCTCTGAACTTAGTGACGATGGTGCAGCACTGAAACCAGAATGAGAAGAGGAACAGGAGGATTTTAACCAAGAAGCTACACAAACTTGATTTCAGGTCAGCAGAATTTTTTCATGTTTTCACTTCATGTTCTCATGGTCTGTTTGTTGGCTCTGTACGACACTGAAAGCCACGGTGCACTGTCCTCAGTTAGATTTGTTTGTTAACTGCATTTAGGATGAGTTTACAGAGTATCCAACAGCAGGGGAACATCTGATTGCAACAGACCATCAAGCTGCAACACTAAGCCAACTTGATGATTAGTCGACAGCTGCATGAATTGAATCATACAGCTCTTACTCTGATGGACACCGAGGGCTTTGTTTTATTCCCCCATAACAATATCTGCAATAGTTTGTCCAAGTCCACATCACTCATGAATTGTTGTGCAGCTCTGTCACACACAAATAGATCTTTCTTTGTTAACAGTGCCGTTATCTTAAAACAGTTGTGAGAGCAAAGCCACTATGGACCTGCAGAGCGCCCCCTCTTAATGTCAGCTGAGGCCATCATGGAGGAGTTGGATACTGGGGAAGATGGCAGGAAAGGTGAGATGATTTTAAAATCGTATCGTAAAACTATTTGTGAGCAATGTGACGTCAAGCAAGAACCAACAAACTGACAAATGAAGCAACTTTAGAGGGACAAAGTAATATTTTACATCTTCTGCATGCTAGCAGCTCTGTGAGGCTGTAAGACAGTGTTTCTCAAACCTTTTACACGAGTACCACATACAGAAATATTAAGCTCTCCAAGTACCACCATTATGACTGACAGTAGCACAGGGCGACCGTATTCAACCACAGACAGTTCACACAGAAGGCAAGTTGAATTCTGATAAATAAATAAATAAATAAATACATTTTAGTGAAGTTAATTGAGGTTTTTTATTAAACATTTTGCAGTATTTTTATAGTATTATATGTTTTTAAATTAATTTATTTAATTGAAAAGATATATCAGCCACCAGTGGTAAATGTACCATAGCTTAAGAACAAGTGCTGTAAGCCACAGTGGTGCTTTGAGCTAAATGCTAACATCAGCATGCTAACATGCTCACAACGATGCTGAAGATTAGCAAGTGTAGTGTTTGACATCCTAACACTTGCAAGTTAGCACTAAACACAAAGTCCAGCAGAGTCTGATGAGAACGTTATTACCTTTGCAGGTATTTGGTCATAAACCAAAGGATTTCAAATTAAATTGAAAAATTTTGACCTGATGAAAAATTAAGATACAATTTATCCAGAGGGGCTCATGACTTCTTTCTTGACAATATGTTTGATTCTCAGTAGACTACCAATCATTTTATTATTTTATTGATTCAGTCCACACAAAACTGTTTTAACCTGGTTATCAGGCTTCATTTTGGTTTGACAAACTAATGTGCAAACCCAGAAACCAAAAATTAACTTATAAACCATCCAGAACTATAAACCAAAGGTTAAATGATGCTTCCTTGTCAAAAACAAACAAAAAAACAAACAATGTAATTATATCTTATTCCGTTTTTTCACATTGTATCAACCATCCGACTCACTCCTGACCCCTGATAACCATCCTGTGACCTCCTGCCAGGGTTGTGACCCTAATATTGAGAAACGCTGACAGGTGACAGATATTTGACCCCGTTGTTGACGTCCTGTTGGAAATTTTCTGAGCCTTAGTTTGTCAGAGGCAGGACGACTTAACCTCGGACCAACTTTCTAAGATATTTTAGTGGTATTAGTGCACTGTGGGAGCTGAACTCCCATGAAAGCAGTAAAATCATACATCTGTGGGGGTAGCTACTACATTACCAACAACCACCATTTTAATCACAACGGACTCACTGAGAATGACTTGTTAGAAGGGTAGCCAAGTCCTAAAGCATTATTTACTTCTAATTTTAGAGACCCCCACAAAGCTCATGATTAGAATTCAAACCCTGCTGTGGATCCCAGCCCGAGGGTCTCTAGAGATATCTGAGGGGTTGCGAAATGAAAGCAAAGAAAAAAGAGATTTCTGCTGCACAAAATAAAGTTTACATATTCAGGGTTTTCTCTAATCTTTATTTCAGATATACTGCAAACTTTTTGTCCCTCTAACCTCTAAAAAGTATTCACATAAAACAACTAGCATATATCGTGTTTGACTCCTAATGATTTTGTCACCTCCTGTGACCACATCGGACATCTGACATCAATTGAGTGTAATTGAAGTGTGGTTGAAAGGAGATTAAATCAAAAGGTGAGGGGGAGGCAGGTGGGTCAAGAAGTATGAGTTACATATACAAAGTAGTTCTTCTGTAAGTTTGATTGACAGCCTGGATTCACACTGAGACGGTATCATGTCAGCTCTGTGGTTCACAGACACAGACAGAGATGGAGACCATATGTCCGTACATTCTGTGGCAATATAAATAGCAAAAAGGTGAAAAGTGAAACAAAATAGACAGTATAGGGGAGAGACAGACAGGAGTAGATGTGTGCAGTGAGACAGGCAGTGAGACAGGCAGAGCTTGTGGTCGGTACTGTAGGTGGTTTGAGTGACAGCTGGAGCCCATACTAAGATGAAGACACAGCACTTCTTGTTAGTAGCTTTAGATTGGAACCAGATGTTGACTCTGCTACTGTTAGTAGTTCCACTGACTGCCTGACTGTTTTACTGACTGTCTCCCTGCCTGCCTGTCTCACTGTCTGACTTCCTGCATGGCTGACTGACTCCTACTGTTTTATCTGACTGTACACCTACCTGGGGCCGGTTGCACAAAGATAGACTTTAACTGTGGTTTAGATCAAACTGATCAGATTCCAAACAAAGCTGTGCAGTCTTTGATTATCTCATGTAGGAATAATTTGCCATGAATTCCGGGTAAATTAAAATAGTTAACAAACTAAAAAACATGGCTGAACGAGCGACTGTTTTAAACTGCTCAGCTCTGTTAAATGTTTGAGTTCTAGAAGAAAAATGTCCTGTAACTGTTGGTTACAAGACAAAAGTCTTCCAGAACGGAGCTTCTGTAGCTTCTTGTGGCAGGGCTCAGTATTTCTGCTAAGTTGTCAGACAGGTTTCCAAACAGAAAAAAATGACAACCCATGACATCGTTAACAAACCATTAATTATAAGCCATGTTTTCCTCTGTTTTGTTTGGTGCTACTAGACATCAGTTACCATGGAAACACAGTTAATTAAGTGCTAAAGTGTGTAAAAAAGTTGAAATCCCACCAAAAAAGTTGAACTAGTTGAAAGTTTTCACACTTGGCTGAGGTGTAAAGGTTGATGCATGAATAAAAACAAAATGGGAATCAGACTTGACTTGGAAATACTTGATGACGTACGTAAAGAATGTGACTTCAGTCGTTCTGGAGAGAGATAGTGGATTGTTTAATTCCCAGCTTGTCAAATACCAGTCATGCTAAATGGGAAACAAACAAAGTGGCTCACACACAACACAACAGGTGGTGTTCGTGCTCCCAAGTTGTCAATTATGGTGTTTCTCGGAATGAGACTCAACAATCTTTCTCAAAAACTGACTGCAGCTTTAAATGTCACTCAAGCTCCAGCTAAAGAGCTGAAGACATCAGATCTGTGTGGAGCGATGAGGAGACTGTAACCTTCCTCACATTAAACATGACACTTATAACATGAAATATGAATTCCCTTCTGAAACAAAGTAGGTTTTCATTTGTTTTTAGGTTTGACTGAATCTCTTTTGATTCCGTCATCTCACTGTCTCCTTTTCTTCTGCAGTAGTTTAATGGCTCCTGAATGGAGAATTACTGCTGAACCAACTACTAATATTCACATAGCAGTGGATGGAAATGCACATTGATTCACTTTTTTGTTGCCTACAGCTCTGAATTAGTCTGACAGCAGGTTGGCTCATTTTTAAGCTTAAAGGACCAGTGTGTAGGATTTAGTGGCATCTAGCTGTGAAGTTGCAGATTGCAACCAACTGAATACCACTCGGCTTGTAGGAGAAACTACGGTGGCTGCAAAAAAACGTGAAAGGCCCTACATAGAGCCAGGGTTTGGTTTGTCCGTTGTGGGTTACCGTAGAAACATGGTAGTTCAACATGGCTCCACAGAGGACCTGAACCCTCTGTAGATAAAAACGACTCATTCTAAGGTATTTCCAGGTAATTAAACACTAATAATAACTGTGTACGATTATTATATTCCATTTCTGCCAACATATCCTAAATGTTACACACTGGACCCCTCAGATCTGTATCAGAAAATCAAAGAACAACACTACAGATTAGTCTAAAATATTTTTATGAGTCCCTGTTTAACTGTATTACGACTGTAAAACTTCCCACCAGTCTGCCTGTCTTACTGGCTGACTTACTGCCTGTCTGTTAGGCACGTTCTTGTCTGATCTGAATGCAGGCTTTTGACCAGCTGCACAGAGCATCACCTCCAGGCAACCAGTGTGAACCCAGAGCATTACCCTCTCTCTCTCTCGCTCTCATTTTTGTCTGCTTTCTTTCAATGAAAAGCTTTCATTATTTCACTTCATGTTAAATAGGCATTGAAGCATCATAAGTGTGAAGAAATCAGTGAAAACGTATTGCTTCACAACCCTTACAAAGACCAATGAAATAAACAAAGATAAACGTTGTTCCTCAGAGCTCTTTATCAAATATTTATTATCAATACATCAGCAAACTAAACTTTAAGCTGAAAGTTTTAACATCTTTTCAGGAAAACCTCTTGACTTTAAGTAAGAATCAACTAAGAATCAGTTAAAGATTAATTAAATTAAACTGTTGAGTATTCCCTGAACAATGAGTTAATTGTTTGGTCTAAAAAAAAGTCAGAGAAAAGAGAAAATCCTGATCAGTTTCTCAGAGTCTGAGGTGACTTATACAAATGTGTTCTTGTTAAAAACCCAAAGACATTCAGTTTACTGTCATTTAAGTCATCAGATCATCAGATTGGAACTGGAACCAATGACGGTTTGACATTTTACCTGAAAAGTTTCTCAAATAATTAAAATATTATCAAAAGAGTTGCTGATTGATTTGAACTCTATTAGCACATACTGTACACTGAGCATCTCCAACGATGATCTGATTTGCACTTTGCGCCTCCTTCCAGTCCTGATGCAGGGTGTACAGCACTAATATCACCCTGCAGATATCTGCAACGGCTTCTCTTTGCTTCAATCAGACAGTAGTTTAAACTGTGCATCATTTAGGTTCCTTCTCTATCCTCTACCCCCACCAGTAAGATGAATGCTCTTTTCAAACTAACAGATTGTCTCTTTCAATCTGGTCCTGTCAGATACGTCGACCAACCAGCCTGGATACTCGCAGGCAGACAGCGCCCTGTTATACCCTCCTTCTCAGTCCCCCGACCCGGTCAGCACGTTGACTCACCTGGGGACGCTGCTGGCCGGACACGACGCACCGAGGACCGGCGGATGGGACAGGTAAGGCAGCTGGTATTCAGCCTCCGCAACAAAAAGTCCCGTAACACACACACAATGTCCCGGGTGAGGAAAGGTAAGGTCACAGTTTGCTGAAGTTTATCCCAGACTTTTTATTTTTGTATTTTTTAGAGAAGTCCTCACCGTGTCGGAATGAGCGCGTGGACGTGAAAATGCGTTCAGCTCTGCCTCTCTCGCTCGGTTTTACTCTCTGCTGGAATGANNGGTGTGTAGGTATTAAAATGGCAAGAGCAGAAGTATTTGTGAGGGCAGAGACCCCACCCCTCTGCCTTTGAAACCCGAACAACGGGGAGTGAGAAACCGAGGTTTGGAGAGGTGAGGTGGGGCCGCGGCGCACGGAAGCGCGGCGGTGTGCGCACGAGGTCAGGATGCATCACTGAGGACTCTTAAACTTTCAATTTAATTGTCTAAATTTAAAGTTTTTGTGAGATCTCCACGGCTGACATTCCTTTAATAAATCTTATATTTAGTGATATTTTCACTAAAATCTCTCCAGAAGCATCAGATTTAAGCTCCATAGCAGACACAGTAGAGATGGTTTATAGGTGCATGATACGTTGGTTTTCTTTATTCGTTAATTATTGGCATACATGTACTATGTTGAAAGTTTGGTGACCTTCTGCACAATTAATTTAAATAGTATCGAAATCACAATATGGCCAAGTGCAATATCCAAACTGCAGAATTGGTAATACATGTAAAATGTGTGACAAACAGCATTATGTAGTTCTGAAGTGAAGCCTCAGCCTACAAATCTTGTCGAAAAAGTGTTTATTATGTACAGACCTCAACAAATGTCATATCATTATGATCAAAAAATCAAAATTGTGATGCAAAAATGATCTTTCCCACTAATCTTTAATCATATTACCATCATAATATCTGTCAGAAATAATAAATATCATGCACCTTTCTTTAGAATGGACCACAAACAATGCAACCATAGACGAACAAAAACAAATAATGGTTCCGGACACTTTATCTTACCTGCTCGTGTGTGTGGTAGGATTTAAAGTATTTACAACACTTTCACCCTGATATTGTTAATATAAAGTGTTGTAATGTGATTTTGTTTATTCGCTGCATCTCTCAGACTTCACATTTCAAACACTGAGCACCTTCATGACTATCTAGACTGGATGATCAGAAACCTGGATAAGGTGTTTAAAGGCCACAATATGACGGTTTCTGCTGGAGGACCAGGCTTCTTAAAACCAGGACATGGTGTTGAACACATAACTGTGATCCTCCAAAAACCCGAAGATAACCAGGATACTTGTGCAGCCTGTGAGAGATAACTTTAACTTGATCAGGAACATTTTGTAGGTCTGAATGAGAGAATCCAGCACTTTAACAGAGAGATGAATGTTACACATATCATGTCTGAAAAGAGCTTTTGTAGGAAACAGGATGCAAAGAGCAGCTTCTAGTGTCAAAGTTGCTGTTCTCACTCTGGTGAGGACAGGTTGTGTGTCTCAGGTTGACGAAGGTTTTAGAACGATTCCTCTAAACAACTTTACTTTCATCCTTTTTTACAACACTGACACCTGTTAAGTCACGTTTGCTAACAAACCTAATGATGATTGTAGTTATTACGACTCTCAGCCGCTGCCACCAGAACAACCTCTGGACCAGAAGATGTACTTTTTTGGAGGTGAAAGTGCATTCTTCTCCAACCCTCCCTGCTTTCTTTTTTTTCTGTCCATTCTGTGTTCCCAGTGTGAAATGCCAGAGAGTCTGAGCTCCTGACACACTGACCTTTGACCTTTGAAGAGGGGAAGGTCTAATTTAGACTACTGCTGGCACCCTGGTGACTGCTCATACACACACACACACACACACATACAACCAGTCAAGTGTGAACCCTGAACTATGAACTGTGGAGAGAGGTGTACTGGGTCAGTGGGATCCCCCTCATATATGAACAAAACATGCAGTCTAGTTGCTCCCTTACAAGGAGCAGCCTGCTCTCCTCTGAATTCACGCACTACTGTAGGGCAGGAATTAGTTAAAGGCTAGAGTTAGTTTTGTGTATAGACGAATCATGAGTTTGCTGGTTAAAAGCCCTTCACGATGCATCCAACTGAAGCGCACCAGGACTAGTGCAATGTAGTGTGTGCAACCAACATCAGTTTTAATAATCTCCTTTTAATAATTTGTCAGTCACTCGCTTCATTTTTCAACCAGTACATAAAATGTTCCAACAAGATTCTGCTGGATGAACATACAGTATATAAAAAGGAACAAATCAGTGGTCTAGTAGTGAATTGTCTTGGCAGTACCTTACTGTGTGGTGTAAGAGACCAATGCAAAGATACTGAGTTGCTCAGAACGTTTGGCTGAGTGAAACTTTTCTCCATTTGCAAAATTTTAAAAACACTTAAAGAAAGATTAAAAAATATTTGTATGATCTTGTCCAAAAATACCATCCAGCTATGATTGTCAGGTCAATGTATGTTTATTTTAAAACTCTATGAAATTAGTCTTACTCGTGCGAAACGAGTCATCAGTTAAAAGTTCTGTGGGAATTTATGAGCAGAAAGAACATGGACCCCTGTTGTTTAGTTTTGACCCACTTAGCCTCTGCATAAGTGTCAGATCAGTTCTCTGTGTGCTGTGGCGTTACTGGGTTGCCCTTGTTAAAGCGAGCACCCTGCTGCTTTAAAGACCAGCTCTGCTCTTCTCTCCCTGACAGTCAGACACACGACAACAAAAGACACAAGTCCAAATAAGAGTGTCTTTCTTGGTGCAGAATTGGGTGTTTTCATGCAGTCATGGCATGTTCTTTGTCTTTGGTTTACAGTTTCAGTTTGCAAATTAGTTTTTATTTCGAAAGTGCTTCATAGGCCATAGGTTCATTATCATCCATT